GACCGGGGAACGGCGAAGACCGCAATTGAAGGGTCTCGTTCGAAGCCGGACACACACAAAAGGAAGGGATTTGCATTATTTAATTCATTTTATTTACTGCAATCAACAACAAACCCTGTGTGACAGCCTGTTGGCTTTCTGATCGCCCTAAGTGGCCGGACTAGAAAAAAGTGCGACACCGTGCAATCCTTGTTTTCAATACAACTTTTTTTCGGGTCCTTCGGCCCGTGCAATCCATGTTTTCAATACTTCTTTTCTTCGGGTCTTTCGGCCCGTGCAATCCATGTTTTCGATACTTCTTTCCTTCGGGTCTTTCGGCCCGTGCAATCCATGTTTTCGATACAGCTTTCCTTCGGGTCTTTCGGCCCGTGCAATCCATGTTTTCCCGTCACCCTTCCCCGAAGTTCAAGCTTGCCAAGTCCACATACATTTCCCCCGGGTCGTTTTTCCCGGACTCTCTCAGGTCCTGCCAATTTCGCATGCATATCACCCTTTTTCCTTTCCTTCCCCTCGCTTAATTTGCTTTCCATGTGCAATGGTCAGTTCATCCTTATACATTTCTTTTCTTGACACCTTGTCAGATCTTCTTTTCAAACCCCTGCAAGCCAATTACTCATCCGTTTCCCAACCTGCCAGTCTTTTTCTCAAGTCTTCTCCTTTTCAGACGTCTCGCCCAGCCATTTTTCAAGCTCATGCCAAATCAATCACACAAGTCTTTTCTCTTCTGGGCATCTCGCCAAGCCCCTTTTCCTCAGGCCCACGCAAAGCCAATTACACAATTCTTTTCTGTTCTGGGCATCTTGCCAGACCCCTTTTCTCAGGCCCACGCAAAACCAATTACATTTTTTTTTTCCATGCATTTTCATTGGTAGATGGCACACCTTTCCCCCACTCAAAACGCGATGTCCCCATCGCGCGACTGATTCTCACTCGGAGGTACGCAGACCTTTGGCCCGCCGACCGCAGTCAAGGACACAAACCCATCCGCTTCACAAGGGAAGAGTGATCAGTTCCTCCCCAATGGGTGGCGCCTCATCCTCCTACTCGATCCGACCTTTTACTATTACGTGGCGAGCACCAACACTGAGGTTCCTCCTCACATCTGGCAGGAGTTGGGGCTCTCTATTAGTCCGCGAGTGCAGTTACGAAGACCTCGCAATTAGTCCCGAAACAATTGTAATGTTCCGACATGGCAGTGTCAGTGCCCCGTGGTGTTGGCGGCCTCCACCCGGTACCTCGCCCGGCCCCTCCCCTTGGACAGTGCTTCCCAACTTAGTGCGGGCAGCCGAGGTCTGACCCAAACGACCATGCCACCCCTCTATGGTATGGCGTGTGGTTGGAGAGTAGTAAAATAGACTAGAATAAGAATGACTCTCTCGCCCATTTGTTTCTCTCACCCTTTGACGTTTAGGCCCTCAACACGAGGCGCAATTTGAACTCCCCGACTAGAGCTCATTGTCGGGGTCAGTTCCGGACGTCCCGCATCGATCCAAGTGGTAGGTGCCTTGTTCCTTTAACCCGCATGCCCTTATAAGAGGGACAGGAGGCGCTGAGACTTTTCCCTTTAAGGGATAGAGGTCTTAAGGTCGCGGTGCAAGCACCGGTATCCCCCTCTTGCTGAGGCCAAGGACGAGAAGAAAGAGAAAATTCATTTCAATGCTATTTCCAAGCCCATTTCAAGTTGTCTAGGGTCCCCTGCTTATGCAATGCAATTTCCAATGCTCATCCAGTTCCGATCTTCAATCCAAGTCCCATGCTCAAACCGAGTCCAATGCTCAATCCAATTCCACGGCTCAATCCAATTCCAAGGCTCAATCCAATTTCAAGGCTCAATTCAATATCTCTTACAGGGCTGAGTGCAATATCCTTTCCAAAGTTGAGTCCAATATCCTTTCCAAGGCTGAGTCCAATATCATTTCCAAGGCTGAGTTCAATACCATTTCCAAAGCTCAGCTCTCCTCAATTTCATCCATCTCAGACAATCATGCAAGGGGACCCCAGTGCCAATTCTAAAGAATGACCCTTGTCAGGGGTCATTCCGAACAACCTGGTTAGGGTCGTTCTTATCCATTGCAATCGGGCGGCCTGGTTAGGGTCATCCTTATCCATTTCCATCGGACAACCTGGTTAGGGTCATCCTTATTCATTTCCATCGGACAGCCTGGTTAGGGCCATCCTTATCCATTTCCGTCGGACAGCCTGGTTAGGGCCATCCTTATCCATTCCAAATGTTAGCGCCCGAGGGGGTGGGCCTCGAGGACACGGATCTTATCTCTGTCTCGGAGGTTAGAAGGTGGCCATCTCTTTGGGTTTTACGCATGTTTCTTCCTCTTTCTCATGCCAATCATCATTCTCATGTCCATTCATACACCCGACTTAGCGTCTAGTGCTCAATTTGAGGCTCATGACCCCAAGTAGTACTAGCCCGCCCGACCGTTCAACCATTACGGAAAATGCTTGCTCAATCAATGTTTTCTCTCTCTGACCTCTCATGCCCTTTTCACTGCTCTGGACTTGACCGGGTTAGGTTGGATTAGGCTCCTAGGCTGTGTTGCACGGCGTACGTGTACGTGGGTTGCGCGTACACACGTACACGTATTCCTGTACGCGATACGTACGCGCGTACACGTACTCCCGTACGTGGGAATACGTAAAAAAAATAAAAAACAAAACATCATCGGAAAAATCTGAAAACAAACTATGTTATGGAAAATAATATTTCAAACAACTTTTGCTCGAGACTCATGGCCAAATTCTGTACATAACTCGAGTGAAAAATCAAAGACACAAAACACAAATAAATTGAAATATTTTTTTTAAAAATTAGGAAAAAAATAGAAAAAATAAAAACAAACTTCTGTAACAAATACACGTTATGCATAAACATGATACAAACAACTTTTGCCAACATAAGAAATATTTTAAAGTAATATTCTTCCCAATCTAACTCGAGAAAGAAATTAAAAACTAAAAAAAAAGTAATATTATCATAATAATTAAAAAAATTATTTCAAAGTTTTCTTTAAGGTTTTGTATTTTTAAATCAAGATTGGTTGGGAATTAGGGTATGAATCCCTGGTAAAGGTTGTTTGTATCATTATTCTGCACAACATAATTTTTTTTCAGATTTTTTGGATATATATATATATATCGTCACAAATATATATATATATATTTTTACGTACGCGTACGCGCAATTTCGGGTTCGTACGCGTACGCACTGCGTACGGGTACACCGTGCAACACAGCTCCTAGGCAAGAGGATTCTTCATGCCTCTTTACCCATAGGTTCCCTAACCTCTCTTAGAAACTCATACCATGACTCATTCTTCCAAAGACACGTATTGCACAAAAATTCTTTTGCCATAGACTTTCTTTAATCTCAACAACTCACATGCTTTTGCCCTTTCCCAAAACAAAGTAAACCATTCCCAGTTCGTATCTCTCCATCAAAGATCCCCGCATTTTCAAAGGAGCATGTAGTTATGCAAAGTAGCGCTAGCTACCTAGTCCCTGTTTGCTTCCCCAGTTCAAAGAGGAGCTCTGTCACAGTTTTCCCAAAAAAAGAAAAAGGATACAAATTCGAATGAAAAAGTGACATTACAGACTTGTCTCATCTAGGTCCCCTCCCTCTCTTCCCTTCACTTTCTTTAAACAAACCCAGCCCCTCACAATCCTAGTCTCAAAACGGGTTGACCCTCACGCCCTTTTTGAAGGAGCAACTACTTATGGACAGTAGCACTAGTTACCCAGTCCTTAGCCATTCCGAATAGAAAGTTGTCCTGTTGTAGTCCATTCTCAAAAAATCTAAATGCAGAGTTCAAAAATGGCAGTCCTGCCTGCCCAGGTACCAGTCCTCCCTATTTCTAAATATTCCTTATTATGTCTACTGCCCTTTTACCGCCCCGTTGCCCTGTGTCAAGCCTCCCTTGCACGATTATCGATCTCTTGCTGCATCTTTCTCTTTGTCCTTTGCAACTGTAGGAGCGCCTCTTCTGTGAAGAATGTTGTTGGCGCTACGTCCTCTCCTCTACTCCGCTTCTCCGTCCCTCTCATCGCCTACTCATACCGCATAATATTGGCCCATTGATCGAACCAGTCACTGCAAGATGGCCTGAACTTCATTATCCATTTGTCCTTCTCTTCACCTGGGTCCTCATCCCTTCCCCGTACCTCTCTTGTGGGCGTTGTGACCTCATCATCCTCTTCCCCACTACTGAGGTCTATGACCTTGTTGGGCTCTTCCTCCTCCAGTCTTGGTCTCTTCCTTGGGCCCACATCCTCCTCACTACTGGTGTCACTGTCAGATGGGAGAACTATCGGTTCCCCCTCTCTCAGGGGAGAGGGTCCCCTGGTTCCGTGCTTCCTTCCCCTTCTGTTCACAACCAAGTTGAAGTCAAATCCCACATACAACTTCCTTTTCCTGGAACTTGATTCCCCAGCCTGTCTTGTTGCTTGTTCCCCAGTAGGCCTGTTAATGGCATTGCTGTCGTTTTCATTTCCAAATTCCATCTTTTGCATTTCCCTGTTGCTTTCTCCTTTCCTGGTCTTGTTTATTCATAACAAGTCACAGCATCCCTCATGCACACATATTCCCTTCCAGTCCCATTTGCAAGTTTTACATGCTTGCCCAGAACCCTTGCTTGCCCCCATATGACCGGTAGTCCCATTATCCCCTTCCCAAAACTTTGGCACATTGTCCTGATCACATAGGCCCCCCATGTAGTCAGTCCCCATAATTGCCCCACAAAAACTATGGTACATTATGCCACGCTCCCAATTTCATTCATACTCAGCCAGACAGTCACCCCATGTTCCACAGGCAAGAAGACACAAAAGGGAATAACCCCTGCAGTTATGATCACTTCTGCAGGAAGGCGGTACAAAATTATAGCGAGCTGCCTACCTTTCAGGTTGTCAAATCCCTTGTTTCCTTGTCCTGAGCCTCCTGTAACCATTGCTCCACCGGATCCCGGCTCAAAAACCTCACCAGCCTCTGTCCGAAAATGACCATTTTATCCCAGTACCATCAAGATCCTCAAATTCAAAAGTGTTCAGTCCTACCCGCTTTGCGATCCTGTAGGGGCCTTTGAACCTTTTCCCCAGCTGTCCAGACCACGTGCTTTCAAGTGCGGAGTTCCTAACTAGTATCATTTCCCCCACCTGGACCGGCTCCTTCTGGATATTCTTTAACCTGGTCCCATCTTGCTTTGTCCCTCATTCGGCTGTCCATCGCTCGCTTAACCACATCCTCCAAGGCTTTCTCATTTCTAGCGACCTGTTGGCAACGTGCGGCAATTTGTTCCTCCGTAGACATATGCTGATTGTCATCTAGCCTGTTCCAGGTAGGAACCAGGGCTTCCACCGGGAAATCAATCTCCCTCCCATACCAGAGCTCTGCCGGAATGCACCCTGTTGTCCTCTTCGGCATCATATTCTCTGAGAAGACCGCCCGCTTAAGGTACCGAGGCCAGTTTCCCAGATCATCAGCCGCCAACTTACCGATTGTGTTTTTCAAGGTCCGGTGCCCCCTTTCTACTGGTGCATTGACCTCAGGGTAATATGGTTCAATGATCTTGATAGGCACGCACAGCGTCTTGAACCTGCTTAGCACTTCGTGATTTACAAATTCCGTCCCATTATCCGCTACGAACCTGCGCACAAATGGGTGCCTTAGGTAGAATCTCTCTATCCAGTCGGCCACTCCCTTCCTCGTCTTTCTCTTAAGAGCTATCGCCTCCACGTAACCACTGAGGTTAGCTCTTGCATCCAAGATGTACCTGTATCCATCCGTTGATACAGGCATGACCGCAAGGTCAAGGTGGACCAAGTGCGCCGACCCTAGTACCCGGGTTGGTCTAAGGGGTTCGAAGATGCGTGCGGAGCTCCTTTCTTGGCATATCAGACACGTTTGGCAGTACGCCGCTACCATACCTGCCATACCTGGCCAGAAGTAAAGTGGCGCGATTTTTGCAAGAGTCCCTTTGGACGACCGGTGCCCTCCGGCTAGCCCATCATGCATCGCCTGGATTATGTCCAACTGCCTAGACCTTCCGCACACGACACGCCTAGGCATCATCCCCTCCTCTTTCTTGAACAGGTGGCCGTTCCTCAAAACATACTTCCCGACTTCCTCCCTTGCCCTGAGGCTGACTTGCATAGGCTGCTTATTTCCTATAAGCAGCCGACCGATTTCCCTAAAGATGCCATTATACATTTGTATAAGGAAGAATTCTCGTCCCTGCTGATCTGTGTCTTGCCCCTCCTGAGCCTGATTCACTAGATACCGCCGCTCCCTTTGCGTCCAGGTCTCTGCTAGGTTCATCACAGCATCTCGACCCCCTTCAACGGCCATCGCAATCAGCTCCTCTTTCGGCCCGATCATTGCCCCCCATGAATCTTTCTCATCCTTGCGTCTAATCGTGGTGACTGGCCCCTCCCTGAGTTCCGCAACTACAGTGGGCGCGCCCTTTTCCAGGCTCTGAATCAGCAGTTGATCCATTGTAGGAGCGGCGCCTGCCATCTCGTTGTCTACGACAAGGGTCCTCCCTTCGTACTCCAGGAAGGCGTCAATCGGCTCCGCATCCTCTACTCCCTCCGGCGTGATGCAAACCCCGACTTAGCCCATCTGCCCTGTTTCGGAGTCCCGCAATTCGCTCGACCTTGTAATCGAATTGCCATATAAAGTCTATGCATCTCCCAACGGTCGGGTCTATAGGCTTGTAGTTCTTCAATGCCCCAACGACATTGGTCGGATCGATTCTCAGAATAACCCTTCTAAGGTATGCCTGAAAGGTCTTAAGGCAATGCAGGATGGCTAAAACCTCTTTTTTGAACTGTGAATATCGTCGTTCTGCTGAATTCAGGGTCCTAATCTCAAATCTGATGGGTCTTTCATTGCCCTCCTCGCTTCTCTGTATCAGGACTCCTCCTACTGCCAATGGTC